TTATCCTAAAATGAGTTTAGTATTGAAATATTCCCTGCTTATACTTCTTAAAAAATACACATTCTAGCAAATATACCTTAAACAGAGATAATATATATACATTATAAGCATTGTAAGTGACTAGGCATACAGTTTTACCGCTTGATATGACCATCCTAAACAGGATTGCCCATTTCTTACACTATTTAATATAATAATTAGAAGATATATTATGAGCACTAGTGACTAATTAACATATACTGTATAGAAATATTATAATTATAGTTGTTACTAAAAGTAGATACAAACTATCAAACCTGGCCAGTCAGGTTTTCCCAAATGTCACCCTATGTATGACAGTCATATATGGTGTTGCAACACTGTGTTGTATGCATCTGAATCACATTTGTAAGTAAACCTTGTAAACCAGAATTTGTTGCAGTTGTTATCAGCTGGGGATCAAGAGTCTTGCGGGTAGTTTCCATGGGTGTAGTGGAGTTGATTAAAGTGTCTTGTGATGTAGGTTAAGAAATTTGTGGAACCGGGAATAGTTGTTGAAGGCACAGACCACCATGATGGGATGAAGAGGATTTTTAAAGACGTGCAGTAAGTAAGAGCAACCATTAACAAGACGTAACGAAAATCTAAGATCATTTAAGTGTACTTTTGAATACAAAGAAGAAAAGTGTTATGCAGTTTTACAGATTCCTTGTAAGCCCCTAATGACTCGTAGACGACTATTCCAATATGGAACCTACACCTGCAGAAAGATGTTACATCACTGGACAAAGATCAACACAGGGCAAGAAAAATTAATAAGTCAGCTGTTATACCTGGACAAGCTGATGGCTACTGAATCAACAGTTATTTAAAACAAAGCATGACAGGGCTAATCTTATCGAGATAAGATTGTACTTTAAAGTACAATGTTAACATAAACCACTTCAAGAGGTCTAACATGACACTTTCAGAAGACAACAGTTTCAATTGAAGCTTGGCAAGCCACGGTGCAGTATAGTCAACATGAAAGTCTTTTCCCGGAGAGTAAAAAAAAAAACTATTGAATAGTCATTAAAACCAAGACTAATACACTAAAATATTCAACGGGATACATTCAGTACGCAAACTAAGGAGACCCTACATAAGCCACGGGCTTCCTACCTATCCTAAAAGCATAAAGCATCCTATGTGATAGGTGTAATAGTAACGATATAGTTCCAGCTCTAACCTTGTAAGATGTCATACTGATCAGGGTCACTGTACAAAGCAGTTATACTTAAATTTGTTAATAAAAGGATTATACTGGCAGGTAAATATAAAGAGAACGCGCAGGAAAAAAATTATAATATTGAATTTATGGCAGGAAGTGAGGAATATAAAGGTTTCACTTTAAAAAAACAGAAAACGGTAAGTTTGCATTAGTAAACATCAGCTAGGGTAATCAAAATGATTTATTTGGATAAACTACATATGTTTTAAGGGTTAATACATTTATACAGTTACAAAAGATACTTGTAATATGCAAATATGTATGGTTAAGTATGTAGTTACTACAAAGATGAATTTTGCATGTTAAATATACAAGTAGAATATAGCAGCTGTAAAGAATAACTTGAAAATTATATATATATATATATATATATATATATATATATATATATATATATATATATATATATATATATATATATATATATATATATATATATATATATATATATATATATATGTCGTGCCGAATAGGCAGAATTTGCGATCTTGGCTTAAATAGCAACGCTCATCTTGCCATATAGGACAAGTGAAAATTTGTGTATGCAATAATTTCGCCAAAATCTTCTGAACCTAACGAAAAAAAATATATTTCACTGTGTTTGTTTAGTATTAAATTATTGTAAACAAATCTAAAATATATTTAGTTGGGTTAGGCTAAAATAAATTGTTCTTGTTATAATAAGGTTAGGTAAGTTTTCTAAGATTCTTTTGGTGCAAAATTTTAAATTTTTACATTATCATTAATGAAAAATATATATCTTTAAATGTATAAGAGAAAATTTTAGAAAGGACTTAATTTTAAATGAGTTCTTGCTAATTGACCAGTTTTACATATTCGGCACGACATATATATATATATACATACATATATATACATGTATATATATATATATATATATATATATATATATATATATATATATATATATATAATATTTATATATAATGTGTTTATATAAATATTATATATATATATATATATATATATATATATATATATATATATATATATATATATATATATATATATATATAATCAAAACATTCTCTATTCTTTCAGAGTGGTTGTTTTGCATATTCTGAAATCACCTGTTTAAATGTGATCTTATTGCATATATATATATATATATATATTTAGTATTAATATATATATATATAATATATATATTAATATATATAAAATATATAGTGCCTGTGAGGTTAAAATTAAAAATTTGTACAATATTAACTATTTTCTATGAGTATACTTAAAATATGTAAGCTTTAGGTAGTTAGAGAATAACTGTCAAGAGGTGAAGTTGGACAATACCTCGTCGAGGAGAGGAAGCTGGTGGTGACTGTGGTCCCTCTGTCCAACGTCTACTGATAACGCTTGTCATGATAAACTGAAGCAAAAGAAACACATCTCAGTGAATTGAACACTTCTAAATGAAAGAGAGGAACTATTGCTAGGAGTGCAATGTATATGTGATTGAAATTAAAATAGTTTGTGCAGCAAGAAGGCAGTTAGCTTCCTTGAAGTGAAGGAATACATTAAGGAAAGATCTCTAAGGAATACATATGAAAATTGAAAAAGTTAGAAGTTAGAAAGGCATGTATTTGTAGGGTGATCTGGAGGCTTTTCTAGTTTGTCCTTTTTTGTAAATGCGAGTTTCTTTGCAGAGAGATGTTATAGAGATCAGTAAATAGGTAAGGAAATTCTCTGCATTAATATATTATTTAATTAGAGTAAATAATTTTATATCAGATTCAGTGGTCGTTTTTCTTCATAACTGATAGGCCTACATGCCTTCATAAATAAGACGCTTTTGTAACCATATTAAAATTCTGAGAGTTGTAAAAATGACAGTTTATGATAATGTTCTCCAGCAGTGCAAGAACCAACAGTTGTGGAGGAGTCCCCACGCCTCAAGCCTAAGCAGAGGCTGCGGGAGAACTTCGAAACAACATCTGAAAGACAAGATAGTCACCCTCACAAGACCTGGGACCTGGAGACTGACCTCACCACCAGGTCATTAGACATGAAGAATATTATTGCCCGTCATGAGACCATAACAACAGAGGAGACACCTAGGCCCAAAAAAATAACAGGAATCTTAAAGAAGACGTCAAGCTCAAATATTCTCAGCACTGATACACGTTCCACTCTAACTTCCGAAATAACCCAAGATAGTGAGTCTGCCTCTGCTGTATTATATAACATCAAACTGAAATTATTTAAAAAAAACAAGCAATGTTGAAGACAGTTTTACCTCACAGTTGTATTGTGTTTATCTTGGTGCATAATTTTTAATGTAAAATATTTTGTAGGCATTAGTGTATAGTGAATTTCTTGAAAATATTTTGTTTACACATTATTAAAAATATGTATATTTTATGTTGCATTTCTGTGAGAGAAATTATTAGAAAAATAAATCCAGTAAGAATGTGTTAATTTATAGTTTACTAACAGTCAAGCTTATTAGCATAAATGTTACTTTCTTTATATTTTATAAACAAGTTATGTTTTTTTTCTATTAAGGTTGGTTGGTTAATGGGGGTTTAACGCCAACCAACCAGCCAGCCAATTTATTTTATTTTCGATGTCTTGAATTTCTAAAAAAAAAAAATGCATGTAAAATTACAACAATTATAAAGTAGTTATTAATAAAATATTTGTTTTTCAGACAAAACTAAAGAAATGACAATTAAAGACCAGCTTAATTCTACTGACGACATCCTAGACACACTTACTGAGGACCAGATCACAAGACTCTCAGAGGAATTCGACCTACGAGCCCAGGATGATGGTGTCATCAAGACTGAGGAGTCAGTGGAAGAGTTGAGTGGTGGGTACAGGGTAACCTCCAGGACAGAGGCTGAGCATCCTGATGGCTCTAAATTTGTTAGAAAAACGTCCTATACTGAGATCAAACTGCAGCAGCCGAGTAAAGAGGATGGTGAGTAACCAACACGTATCAATGTTTTAACTCTGGTTCTGTGATATGCATCATATTTTATTATAAATAAAATGTGATTACTTATGCAAGAGAGAATCTCCAGGTCATGCAACACACCGCCTGCGTCCCACCGAGGTAGGGAGACTCAAACAAGAGGAAACACATTCACCATTATTCCTTTAACCGGTATCTTGCCAAACCTGTGCTCAAATACCCCCACCAAACTACATTCTCACCCATCTTTAGAGTACATATATACATTATAAAACAAAAACTTGATAATTGATGCATATCATAAAATCTGGGTATGTTTATAAATGTATGAAAATGCATGATTTATAGTTCAACATATGTACTATGTAAATAGCCCATTACTGTAATAGGTAGCATAAGTAATGCCAATTTTTCTACCCAGGGAACTTTAGTTTCAAACTAACGGTGAGTATTAATAATGAGATAATTATCATGTAATCAACTTAGAATCTATTAAATCCCAGGTACCCTTCCTGATGACCTCAAGGATAATGCACGCCTTGACACTGACCAAAGACAAAGAACAGACTATGACAAGACAGACACACATACACGTATTTCACAAGTAAGAGCTAAAAGCTGGAAAGAAAGCACGGTTAGTCAAACATCTGTGTCAAACTTGAAGATTGGCCAGTTAACAAAAATATCTCCGTCAAAGAAAAGTGAACCCCGAAGGCCAGGTGAAGAACCTGAAACAAGAAGACCAACTAGGCCAGGTGAAGAACCAGAAACAAGGAGACCAACTAGGCCAGGTGAAGAACCAGAAACAAGGAGACCAACTAGGCCAGGTGAAGAACCAGACGATACGAAGAGGAGACCAGGCAGGCCAGGTGATGAACCTGAGAATACGAAGAGGAGACCAGGTAGGCCAGGTGATGAACCTAAGGATACAAAGAGGAGACCAAGCAGGCCAGATGATGAACCAGAGGATACAAAGAGGAGACCAGGTAGGCCAGGTGATGAACCAGATGATATAAAGAGGAGACCAGGCAGGCCAGGTGATGAACCAGAGGATACAAAGAGGAGACCAGGCAGGCCAGGTGATGAACCTGAGGATACGAAGAGGAGACCAGGCAGGCCAGGTGATGAACCTGAGGATACAAAGAGGAGACCAGGCAGGCCAGGTGATGAACCAGAGGATACAAAGAGGAGACCAGGTAGGCCAGGTGATGAACCAGACGATATAAAGAGGAGACCAGGCAGGCCAGGTGATGAACCAGAGGATACAAAGAGGAGACCAGGCAGGCCAAGTGATGAACCAGAGGATACAAAGAGGAGACCAGGCAGGCCAGGTGATGAACCTGAGGATACGAAGAGGAGACCAGGCAGGCCAGGTGATGAACCTGAGGATACAAAGAGGAGACCAGGCAGGCCAGGTGATGAACCAGAGGATACAAAGAGGAGACCAGGTAGGCCAGGTGATGAACCAGACGATATAAAGAGGAGACCAGGCAGGCCAGGTGATGAACCAGAGGATACAAAGAGGAGACCAGGCAGGCCAGGTGATGAACCAGAGGATACAAAGAGGAGACCAGGCAGGCCAGGTGATGAACCTGAGGATACGAAGAGGAGACCAGGCAGGCCAGGTGATGAACCTGAGGATACAAAGAGAAGACCAGGCAGGCCAGGTGATGAACCTGAGCCCACTAAGAGGAGACCAGGCAGGTTAGGTGAGGAACCAGAAGATACAAAGAGGAGACCAGGCAGGCCAGGTGAAGAACCTGAGCCCACTAAGAGGAGACCAGGCAGGCCAGGTGATGAACCAGACGATACAAGGAGGAGACCAGGCAGGCCAGGTGATGAACCAGAGGATACAAAGAGGAGACCAAGTAGGCCAGGTGATGAACCAGAGGATACAAAGAGGAGACCAGGCAGGCCAGGTGATGAAATAGAGGATACAAAGAGGAGACCAAGCAGGCCAGGTGATGAACCAGAGGATACAAAGAGGAGACCAGGCAGGCCAGGTGATGAACCAGAGGATACAAAGAGGAGACCAAGCAGGCCAGGTGATGAATCAGAGGATACAAAGAGGAGACCAGGCAGGCCAGGTGATGAACCAGAGGATACAAAGAGGAGACCAGGCAGGCCAGGTGATGAACCAGAGGATACAAAGAGGAGACCAGGCAGGCCAGGTGATGAAATAGAGGATACAAAGAGGAGGCCAAGCAGGCCAGGTGATGAACCAGAGGATACAAAGAGGAGACCAGGTCGGCCAGGTGATGAACCAGAGGATCCAAAGAGGAGACCAGGCAGGCCAGGTGAAGAACCTGAGCCCACTAAGAGGAGACCAGGCAGGTTAGGTGAGGAACCAGAAGATACAAAGAGGAGACCAGGCAGGCCAGGTGAAGAACCTGAGCCCACTAAGAGGAGACCAGGCAGGCCAGATGATGAACCAGAAGATACAAAGAGGAGACCAAGCAGGCTAGGTGATGAACCAGACGATACAAAGAGGAGACCAAGCAGGCCAGGTGATGAACCAGACGATACAAAGAGGAGACCAGGTCGGCCAGGTGATGAACCAGAGGAACCAAAGAGGAGACCAGGCAGGCCAGGTGAAGAACCTGAGCCCACTAAGAGGAGATCAGGCATGCTAGGTGATGAACCAGAAGATACAAAGAGTAGACCAGGCAGGCCAGGTGATGAACCAGACGATACAAGGAGGAGACCAGGCAGGCCAGGTGATGAACCAGACGATACAAGGAGGAGAGCAGGCAGGCCAGGTGATGAACCAGAGGATACAAAGAGGAGACCAGGCAGGCCAGATGATGAACCAGAGGATACAAAGAGGAGACCAGGCAGGCTAGGTGACGAACCAGAGGATACAAAGAAGAGACCAGGCAGGCCAGGTGATGAACCAGAGGATACAAAGAGGAGACCAGGCAGGCCAGGTGATGAACCAGAGGATACAAAGAGGAGACCAGGCAGGCCAGGTGATGAACCAGAGGATACAAAGAGGAGACCAGGCAGGCTAGGTGATGAACCAGAAGATACAAAGAGGAGACCAAGCAGGCCAGGTGATGAACCAGACGATACAAAGAGGAGACCGGGCAGGCCAGGTGATGAACCAGAGGATACAAAGAGGAGACCAGGCAGGCCAGGTGATGAACCAGAGGATACAAAGAGGAGACCAGGCAGGCCAAGTGATGAACCAGAGGTTACAAAGAGGAGACCAGGCAGGCCAGGTGATGAACCAGAGGATACAAAGAGGAGACCAGGCAGGCCAGGTGATGAACCAGAGGATACAAAGAGGAGACCAGGCAGGCTAGGTGATGAACCAGAAGATACAAAGAGTAAACCAGGCAGGCCAGATGATGAACAAGACGATACAAGGAGGAGACCAGGCAGGCCAGGTGATGAACCGGGGGATACAAAGAGGAGACCAGGCAGGCCAGGTGAAGAACCTGAACTCACTAAAAGGAGACCAGGCAGGCCAGGTGATGAACCAGAAGATACAAAGAGGAGACCAGGCAGGCCAAGTGATGAACCAGACGTTATAAGGAGGAGACCAGGCAGGCCAGGTGATGAACCGGGGGATACAAAGAGGAGACCAAGCAGGCCAGGTGATGAACCAGATGATACAAAGAGGAGACCAGGCAGGCCAGGTGATGAACCAGAGACCATTAAGAGGAGACCAGGCAGGCCAGGTGAGGAACCAGAGACCACTAAGAGGAGACTAGGAAGGCAAGTTGAGGAGCCAGAGACCACTAAGAGGAGACCAGGCAGGCCAGGTGATGAGGAACCAGAGACCACTAAGAGGAGACCAGGCAGGCCAGGTGATGAGGAACCAGAGATCACTAAGAGGAGAACAGGCAGGCCAGGTGATGAGGAACCAGAGACCACTAAGAGGAGACCAGGCAGGCCAGGTGATGAGGAACCAGAGACCACTAAGAGAAGACCAGGCAGGCCAGGTGATGAGGAACCAGAGACCACTAAGAGAAGACCAGGCAGGCCAGGTGATGAGGAACCAGAGACCACTAAGAGGAGACCAGGCAGGCCAGGTGATGAGGAACCAGAGACCACTAAGAGAGACCAGGCAGGCCAGGTGATGAGGAACCAGAGACCACTAAGAGGAGACCAGGCAGGCCAGGTGATGAGGAACCAGAGACCACTAAGAGGAGACCAGGCAGGCCAGGTGATGAGGAACCAGAGACCACTAAGAGGAGACCAGGCAGGCCAGGTGATGAGGAACCAGAGACCACTAAGAGGAGACCAGGCAGGCCAGGTGATGAGGAACCAGAGACCACAGATGAGAAGGAATCATTAAAGTCAATAGAAAAAACAAGCGTTGGAACTGAAAGAGTAAACATCAGAAAATCCTCGAGTGAATATTACGAGAGGAGTAGCACAGAGAGACACACCTCAGTTACCTCCATAACTCTCAGCACCAGAGACACTCTGGTGAAGGAGAACCTCAACATCCATGATACACTGAGGTTCAGGCCTACAACCAGCGATGATGAAGAACCTTATGGTATAGAACCGCACGAGGGGTTCAAGGTGAAGCCAAGGACAACGGTAAGAGATTTTGATGAACCAGATACCAGGAAGAGGAGCCCAGGCAGACCAGGTGATGAACCAGACACCAGGAAGAGGAGCCCAGGCAGGCCAGGTGATGAACTAGACACCAGGAAGAGGAGCCCAGGCAGGCCAGGTGATGAACCTGACCCCAGGAAGAGGAGCCCAGGCAGGCCAGGTGATGAACCTGACACCAGGAAGAGGAGCTCAGGCAGGCCAGGTGATGAACCAGACACCAGGAAGAGGAGCCCAGGCAGGCCAGGTGATGAACCTGACACCAGGAAGAGGAGCCCAGGCAGGCCAGGTGATGAACCAGACACCAGGAAGAGGAGCCCAGGCAGGCCAGGTGATGAACCTGACACCAGGAAGAGGAGCTCAGGCAGGCCAGGTGATGAACCAGACACCAGGAAGAGGAGCCCAGGCAGGCCAGGTGATGAACCTGACACCAGGAAGAGGAGCCCAGGCAGGCCAGGTGATGAACCAGACACCAGGAAGAGGAGCCCAGGCAGGCCAGGTGATGAACCAGACACCAGGAAGAGGAGCCCAGGCAGGCCAGCTGATGAACTAGACACCAGAAGGAGGAGCCCAGGCAGGCCAGGGGATGAACCTGACACCAGGAAGAGGAGCCCAGGCAGACCAGGTGATGAACCAGACACCAGAAAGAGGAGCCCAGGCAGGCCAGGGGATGAACCTGACACCAGGAAGAGGAGCCCAGGCAGACCAGGTGATGAACCAGACACCAGAAAGAGGAGCCCAGGCAGGCCAGGGGATGAACCTGACACCAGGAAGAGGAGCCCAGGCAGGCCAGGTGATGAGCCAGACACCAGAAAGAGGAGCCCAGGCAGGCCAGGTGATGAACCAGACATCAGAAAGAGGAGCCCAGGCAGACCAGGTGATGAACCAGACACCAGGAAGAGGAGCCCAGGCAGGCCAGGTGATGAACCAGACACCAGGAAGAGGAGCCCAGGCAGGCCAGGTGATGAACCAGACACCAGGAAGAGGAGCCCAGGCAGGCCAGGTGATGAACCAGACACCAGGAAGAAGAGCCCAGGCAGACCAGGTGATGAACCTGACACCATGAAGAGGAGCCCAGGGAGGCCAGGTGATAAGCCAGACACCAGGAAGAGGAGCCCAGGCAGACCAGGTGATGAACCTGGCACCAGGAAGAGGAGCCCAGGCAGGCCAGGTGATGAACCTGAGCTCACAAGGAGGAGACCAGGCACGCCAGGTGAAGAATCAGCAACAAGGAAACCAAGTAAGCCAGGTGAAGAACTAGTAACAAGGAGACCAAGTAAGCCAGGTGAAGAACCAGACACAAGGAAGAGGAGGCCAGGTGATGAACCTGAGCCCACGAAGAGGAGACCAGGCAGGCCAAGTGAAGAACCAGTAACAAGGAGACCAAGTAAGCCAGGTGAAGAACTAGTAACAAGGAGACCAAGTAAGCCAGGTGAAGAACCAGTTACAAGGAGACCAAGTAAGCCAGGTGAAGAACCAGCAACAAGGAGACCAAATAGGCCAGGTGAAGAACCAGACACAAGGAAGAGGAGGCCAGGTGACGAACCAGAGGATACAAAGAGAAGACCAGGTAGGCCAGGTGATCAACCAGAGACCACAAAGGGGAGACCAGGCAGGCCAGGTGATGAACCAGAAGTATTTGAATTAATACCTAATGATGTTAGTGAAGAATTGATTGACGTGAGAAGAGCATACGAGACCGACACAGTGAACATTTATGACCTGACGAAGGAGTCTTACGAGACCAGCGTCGTCAGACAGTCAACAGTCAGTAAATCTATGAGGAAAACTGAAACAGTTATGAGTCAATACATAGAAACCAGGGAAGACGTGGACGAATATCAGGACTGGCCAGGTCTGACAGACACTAGAATCAGGAAGCCTGTCGCTGAGGAACCAGACATAACAAAGAGGAGACCAGGCAGGCCAGGTGATGAAGAACCAGAGACCACCAAGAGGAGACCAGGCAGGCCAGGTGATGAGGAACCAGAGACAACTAAGAGGAGACCAGGCAGGCCAGGTGATGAGGAACCAGAGACCACTAAGAGGAGACCAGGCAGGCCAGGTGATGAGAAACCAGAGACCACTAAGAGGAGACCAGGCAGGCCAGGTGATGAGGAACCAGAGACCACTAAGAGGAGACCAGGCAGGCCAGGTGATGAGGAACCAGAGACCACTAAGAGGAGACCAGGCAGGCCAGGTGATGAGGAACCAGAGATCACTAAGAGGAGACCAGGCAGGCCAGGTGATGAGGAACCAGAGACCACTAAGAGGAGACCAGGCAGGCCAAGTGATGAGGAACCAGAGACCACTAAGAGGAGACCAGGCAGGCCAGGTGATGAGGAACCAGAGATCACTAAGAGGAGACCAGGCAGGCCAGGTGATGAGGAACCAGAGACCACTAAGAGAAGACCAGGCAGGCCAGGTGATGAGGAACCAGAGACCACTAAGAGGAGACCAGGCAGGCCAGGTGATGAGGAACCAGAGACCACTAAGAGGAGACCAGGCAGACCAGGTGATGAGGAACCAGAGACCACTAAGAGGAGACCAGGCAGGCCAAGTGATGAGGAACCAGAGACCACTAAGAGGAGACCAGGCAGGCCAAGTGATGAGGAACCAGAGACCACTAAGAGGAGACCAGGCAGGCCAAGTGATGAGGAACCAGAGACCACTAAGAGGAGACCAGGCAGGCCAAGTGATGAGGAACCAGAGACCACTAAGAGGAGACCAGGCAGACCAGATGATAAGCCAGAGGAAGCAAAGAGGAAGCCAAGTAGGCCAGATAAATCAGAGGAAACAACGAGAAAACTAAGTAAAACAGGTGATAAACCAGAAGACGTAAAGAGGAAACCAAGTAGACCAGAGGAAACCAGGAGGAAACCAGGCAGGCCAGGTGATGAGGAACCAGAGACCACTAAGAGGAGACCAGGCAGACCAGGTGATGAGGAACCAGAGACCACTAAGAGGAGACCAGGCAGACCAGGTGATGAGGAACCAGAGACCACTAAGAGGAAACCAGGCAGGCCAGGTGATGAGGAACCAGAGACCACTAAGAGGAGACCAGGCAGACCAGGTGATGAGGAACCAGAGATCACTAAGAGGAGACCAGGCAGGCCAGGTGATGAGGAACCAGAGACCACTAAGAGGAGACCAGGCAGGCCAGGTGATGAGGAACCAGAGACCACTAAGAGGAGACCAGGCAGGCCAGGTGATGAGGAACCAGAGATCACTAAGAGGAGACCAGGCAGGCCAAGTGGTGAGGAACCAGAGACCACTAAGAGGACACCAGGTGATGAGGAACCAGAGATTACAAAGAGGAGACCAGGCAGGCCAGATGATGAAGAACCTGAACCCACTAAGAGGAGACCAGGCAGGCCAAGTGATGAACCAGAGACCACTAAGAGGAGACCAGGTGATGAGGAACCAGAGATCACTAAGAGGAGACCAGGCAGGCCAAGTGGTGAGGAACCAGAGACCACTAAGAGGACACCAGGCAGACCAGGTGATGATATAACCTACATAGACACTGAAGACTTGAGCGTTCGTAAATCATACATATCTTCCACAACAGTTGAAATGACATCAAACATATCAAGATCGTTGGTGACGGAGTCAACGGAACTTGAAGAAGTCTATTACTACGATAGTGTAGAGTATACAAGTAGCAGCAGTACTGAGGAATCCTCAACGAGCGATTCCGATGTGAGTGACGAACAAAAGAGGAAGAAGAAGAAGCCTAAGAAGAAAAGAGTGCCCGAAATTGAAGAAACAGGTGTGCGTGAGACGATGATCATCAAGACGGAACAGGACTCACAAAGAAAAATGAGAGCAAAGATGCAGAAAGATGCACCTGAGATCCGTATCAGGAGGAAACCTGGAGATAAGCCACAAACAACAGAGAAAACTGGAGAAGAGCCAGAAGTCATGAAAAGAATACAACGACCTAGTGAACAAGAACCAAACAAAGCAAAGAGTGAACCAGGCAGGCCAGAATACTTTGAGCCTAAGAACCTCAAGGGAAGCCTAGAGATCTTGAGCCAAAATCCGTTTCAGACCAGTCTAAAAAAATAAATAAAAGACCAGATGATAGAAAAGACGGAAGTAAACCACATGACGAACCGTCACTCACCAAGAAAATAAGTGTCAGACCTGAAGACGAAAAAGAGACAATGAGAAGGAAGCCAAGCAAGCCAGGTGAGGACCCAGAAATACGTAAAAGGAGTCCAAGAAGGCCAGGTGAAGAACCAGAAGAAATAAAGAGGAAACCAGGTAAGCCACATGAAGAGGAACCAGACACAATAAAGAGGAGACCAGGCAGGCCAAGTGAAGAGGAACCAGATACAATAAAGAAGAGACCAGGCAGGCCAAGTGAAGAGGAACCAGATACAATAAAGAGGAGACCAGGCAGGCCAGGTGAAGAGGAACCAGAGCAAATAAAGAGGAGACCAGGCAGACCAGGTGAAGAGGAACAAGAGACAATAAAGAGGAGACCAGTCAGGCCAGGTGAAGAGGAACCAGAGACAATAAAAAGGAGACCAGGCAGACCAGGTGAAGAGGAACCAGACAAAATAAAGAGGAGACCAGGTGATGAACCAGAGACAATAAAGAGGAGACCAGGTGATGAACCAGAAACAATAAAGAGGAGGCCAGGTGATGAACCAGAAACAATAAAGAGAAGGCCAGGTGATAGACCAGAAACAGTAAAGAGGAGGCCAGGTGATGAACCAGAAACAATAAAGAGGAGGCCAGGTGATAGACCAGAAACAGTAAAGAGGAGGCCAGGTGATGAACCAGAAACAATAAAGAGGAGGCCAAGTGATGAACCAGAAACAATAAAGAGGAGACCAGGTGATGAACCAGAAACAATAAAGAAGAGACCAGGTGATGAGCCAGAGACAATAAAGAGGAGACCAGGCAGGCCAGGTGAAGAGCCAGAGAAAATAAAGAGGAGACCAGGAGATAAACCAGACACAATAAAGAGAAGACCAGGTTATGAACCAGAGACTACTAAGAGGAAACCAGGTGAGGAACCAAAAGAAATAAAGAGGAGACCAGGCAGGCCAGGTGATGTACCAGAAGAAATAAAGAGGAGACCAGGCAGGCCAGGTGATGAACCAGAAGAAATAAAGAGGAGACCAGGCAGGCCAGGTGATGAACCAGAAGAGATAAAGAGGAGACCAGGCAGGCCAGGTGATGAACCAGAGGAAATAAAGAGGAGACCAGGTAGGCCAGGTGATGAACCAGAGACTATTAAGAGGAGACCAGGTGATGTACCAGAAGAAATAAAGAGGAGACCAGGCAGGCCAGGTGATGAACCAGAGGAAATAAAGAGGAGACCAGGCAGGCCAGGTGATGAACCAGAGACAATAAAGAGGAGACCAGGTGATGTACCAGAAAAAATAAAGAGGAGACCAGGCAGGCCAGGTGATGAACCAGAGGAAATAAAGAGGAGACCAGGCAGGCCAGGTGATGAACCAGAGAAAATAAAGAGGAGACCAGGAGATGAACCAGAGGAAGTAAAGAGGAGACCAGGCAGGCCAAGTGATGAACCAGAGACAATAAAGAGGAGACCAGGTGATGAACCAGAAGAAATAAAGAGGAGACCAGGCAGGCCAGGTGATGAACCAGAGGAAATAAAGAGGAGACCAGAGATGAACCAAAGGGGAAGTAAAGAAGACCAGGCAGCCAGTTGAAACCAGAGAAATAAAGAAAAGACCAGGTGATGAACCAGAAGAAATAAAGAGGAGACCAGATGAACCAGAGGAAATAAAGAAAAGACCAGGCAGGCCAGGTGATGGACCAGAGACCAATAAGAGGAGACCAGGTGATGAACCAGAAGAAATAAAGTGAAGACCAGGTAGGCCAGGTGATGGAACTAGAAGAAATTAAGAGGAGACCAGGATGACCAGAGAATAAAGTGAGACCATAGAGGACCAGGTGATGAACCAGAAGAAATAAAGAGGAGACCAGGCAGGCCAGGTGATGAACCAGAAACCATTAAGAGGAGACCAGGTGATGAACCAGAAGGAAATAAAGAGGAGACCAGGCAGGCCAGGTGATGAACCTGAAGAAATAAAGAGGAGACCAGGCAGGCCAGGTGATGAACCAGAAGAAATAAAGAGGAGACCAGGCAGGCCAGGTGATGAACCTAAAGGAAATAAAGAGGAGACCAGGCAGGCCAGGTAAATGAACCAGAAGAAATAAAGAGGAGACGGCAGGCCAGGTGATGAACCGAGAAAATAAAGAGGAGACCAGGCAGGCCAGGTGAGAACCAGAAGAAAAAACAGAGGAGACCGGCAGGCCAGGTGATGAACCAGAGAAATAAAGAGGAGACCAAGGGCGGTGATGAACCAGAAGGAAATAAAGAGGAGACCAGGCAGGCCAGGTGATAAAGCCAGAGAACTATTAAGAGGAGACCAGGTGATGAACCAGAGGAAATAAAGAGGAGACCAGGTAGGCCAGGTGATGAGCCAGAAACTATTAAGAGGAGACCAGGTGATGAACCAGAAGAAATAAAGAGGAGACCAGGCAGGCCAGGTGATGAACCAGAAGAAATAAAGAGGAGACCAGGCAAGCCAGGTGATGAACCTGAGGAAATAAAGAGGAGACCAGGCAGGCCAGGTGATGAACCAGAAGAAATAAAGAGGAGACCAGGCAGGCCAGGTGATGAACCTGAGGAAATAAAGAGGAGACCAGGCAGGCCAGGTGATGAACCGGAGGAAATAAAGAGGAGACCAGGCAGGCCAGGTGATGAACCAGAGGAAATAAAGAGGAGACCAGGCAGGCCAGGTGATGAACCTGAGGAAATAAAGAGGAGACCAGGCAGGCCAGGTGATGAACCAGAAGAAATAAAGAGGAGGCCAGGCAGCCAGGTGATGAACCTAAAGGAAATAAAGAGAGACCAGCAGGCCAGGTGATGAACCAGAGAAATAAAGAGGAGCCAGCAGCCAGGTGATGAACCGGAAGAAATAAAGAGGAGGCCAGGCAGGACCGGGTGATGAACCAGAAGAAATAAAGAGGAGGCCAGGCCCAGGTGATGAACCAGAAGAAATAAAGAGATCAACCAGGCCAGGTGATGAACCAGAGGAAATAAAGAGGAGACCAGGCAGGCCAGGTGATGAACCGAAGGAAATAAAGAGGAGGCCAGGCAGGCCAGGTGATGAACCAGAAGAAATAAAGAGGAGGCCAGGCAGGCCAGGTGATGAACCAGAAGAAATAAAGAGGAGACCAGGCAGGCCAGGTGATGAACCAGACGAAATTAAGAGGAGGCCAGGCAGGCCAGGTGATGAACCAGAAGAAATAAAGAGGAGGCCAGGCAGGCCAGGTGATGAACCAGAAGAAATAAAGAGGAGACCAGGCAGGCCAGGTGATGAACCAGAAGAAATAAAGAGGAGGCCAGGCAGGCCAGGCGATGAACCAGAAGAAATAAAGAGGAGACCAGGCAGGCCAGGTGATGAACCAGAAGAAATAAAGAGGAGACCAGGCAGGCCAGGTGATGAATCAGAAGAAATAAGGAGGAGACCAGGCAGGCCAGGTGATGAACCAGAAGAAATAAAGAGGAGGCCAGGCAGGCCAGGTGATGAACCAGAAGAAATAAAGAGGAGGCCAGGCAGGCCAGGTGATGAACCAGAAGAAATAAAGAGGAGACCAGGCAGGCCAGGTGATGAACCAGAAGAAATAAAGAGGAGGCCAGGCAGGCCAGGTGATGAACCAGAAGAAATAAAGAGGAGACCAGGCAAGCCAGGTGACGACAGCTTAGTTTCTAGTTCGAGTACTCCTGTCAGGAGAAGCAGCAAACCTGTCTACTCTATGCCAGAGTATCCTAGTAGAAGACCTGAAGAACTGGAGAAAACACCCAGTAAGAAAGTTAGTAAAGTGAACGATAAGGAACCAGAGACTCTAAGAAGAAAACCCAGCAGACCCGATGACAAAGAGTCTGGGAGAATTGTCAAGAAAACAGACAAACCTGAGGGTAAAGAACGTGAGGGAGAGAGAAAGCCCAGCTGGGTTAATGACTATGGCAAGAAGACTGAGAAACGCATCAGTACTTCAAGCATAGATCGATGTGATGCTGCTTTAAGGAGAAAGTCGCCATTCTCCAGGAGGGGCCCCACGCCAGAACCGGATGACGTTCAGCATCGCATACGTAAAACTTCGAAACCCAGAAAATCTTCTGTGGACTCGGGTCAGCCTCGTCGAAGGACGTCCAGTGTGGACATGGAGACCAGGACATACAGCATGCAGTCCCTGTCAGGCCTGTCTACTACGAGCTCTGTTCCCAGTTATATGAGGCCGAGGGGAGAATCATGCAGCTGTCGACGCCACACCCCTGAGAGAGACATTCACGAAATCGAAAACGCTCTTCTTAATGCTTACCAGTACACCCGGTGCACCAAGAAGGTCACCAAACCTCCAGTGACCTACAATTATACGTACACCGTTACTCCGGATCCTGCTGGCGGCGGCGGAGGAGGATCGTATTCTATTTACTTTGGTCCCAGAGACAAACCTTCACCAACTGAACCTGGTCGATCCCTCGTCCCTACTCCCTCATCTCCCGCCAGGGACTCACCCATCCAAGATGCCCCTCACCCTCCCATAGGTGAACCAACAGATCGTCGACCAGGTGAACCAACAGATCGTCGACCAGGTGAACCAGATCGTCGACCAGGTGAACCAGATCGTCGACCAGGTGAACCAGATCGTCGACCAGGTGAACAACAGATCGTCGACCAGGTGAATCAACAGATCGTCGACCAGGTGAACACGTCGTCAGACAGGTGAAACAGAGATCGTCGACCAGGTGAAACAACAGATCGTCGACCAGGTGAATCAACAGATCGTCGACCAGGTGAACCAGGAGATCGTCGACCAGGTGAACCAGCAGATCGTCTACCAGGTGAACCAACAGATCGTCGACCAGGTGAACCAACAGACCGTCGACCAGGTGAACCAGGAGATCGTCGACCAGGTGAACCAGCAGATCGTCTACCAGGTGACCCATCAGATCGTCGACCAGGTGAACCACAACGCGACCAGGTGAACCAGGAGATCGTCCGACCAGGTGAACCAGCAGATCGTCCTGACCCACAGGTGACACCATCAGATCGTCGACCAGGTGAACCAGCAGATCGTCGACCAGGTGAAACCAACCAGGACCGTCGCGACCAGGTGAACCAGCAGATCGTCGACCAGATGAACCAACAGATCGACGACCAGGTGAACCAGGATATCGTCGACCAGGTGAATCAACAGATCGTCGACCAGATGAACCAGGAGATCGTCGACCAGGTGAACCAACAGACCGTCGACCAGGTGAACCAACAGATCGTCAACCAGGAGATCGTCGACCAGGTGAACCAGCAGATCGTCTACCAGGTGAACCAGCAGATCGTCGACCAGGTGAACCAGCGGGTCGTCGACCAGGTGAACCAGCAGATCGTCGACCAGGTGAACCAACAGATCGTCGACCAGGTGAACCAGGAGATCGTCGACCAGGTGAACCAACAGATCGTCGACCAGGTGTACCAACAGATCGTCGACCAGGTGACTGGATTGTTTATGCAGGTGAACCAGGAGATCGTCGACCAGGTGAACCAGGAGATCGTCGACCAGGTGAACCAGCAGATCGTCTACCAGGTGAACCAGCAGATCGTCGACCAGGTGAACCAGCGGGTCGTCGACCAGGTGAACCAGCAGATCGTCGACCAGGTGAACCGACAGATCGTAGACCAGGTGAACCAGGAGATCGTCGACCAGGTGAACCAACAGATCGTCGACCAGGTGTACCAACAGATCGTCGACCAGGTGACTGGATTGTTTATGCAGGTGAACCAGGAGATCGTCGACCAGGTGAACCAGGAGATCGTCGACCAGGTGAACCAGGAGATCGTCGGACAGGTGAACCAGGAGATCGTCGGCCAGGTGAACCAGGAGATCGTCTGCCAGGTGAACCATCAGGTCGTCGGCCAGGTGACCCAGGAGATCGTCGACCAGGTGAACCAACAGATCGTCGACCAGGTGAACCAGGAGATCGGCCAGGTGTACCAGAAGATCGTTTGCCAAGTGAACCAACAGATCGTCGACCGGGTGAACCAACAGATCGTCGTCCAGGTGACTGGATTGTTTATGCAGGTGAACCAGGAGATCGTCGACCAGGTAAACCAGGAGATCGTCGACCAGGTGAACCAGGAGATCGTCGGCCAAGTGAACCAACAGATCGTCGACCAGGTGATTGGATTGTTTATGCAGGTGAACCAACATATCGTCGACCAGGTGAACCAGGAGATCGTCGGCCAGGTGAACCAGATGATCATCGACCAGGTGAGCCAGGAGATCGTCGGCCAGGTGAACCAACAGATCGTCGACCAGGTGATTGGATTGTTTATGCAGGCGAACCAGCATATCGTCGACCAGGTGAACCAGGAGATCGTCGACCAGGTGAACCAACAGATCGTCGACCAGGTGATTGGATTGTTTATGCAGGCGAACCAACATATCGTCGACCAAGTGAACCTACAGATCATCGACCAGGTGAACCAGGAGATCATCGACCAGGTGAACCAGGAGATCGTCGACCAGGTGAACCAGGAGATCGTCGACCAGGTGAACCAGGAGATCGTCGACCTGGTGAACCAGGAGATCGTCGACCTGGTGAACCAGGAGATCATCGACCAGGTGAACCTACAGATCATCGACCAGGTGAACCAAGAGATCGTCGACCAGGTGAACCAGGAGATCGTCGACCAGGTGAACCAGAGATCATCGACCAGGTGAACCAGGAGATCGTCCAGGTGAACCAGAAGATCGTCGACCAGGTGAACCAGGAGATCGTCGACCAGGTGAACCAGGAGATCGTCGACCAAGTGAACCAACAGATCGTCGACCAGGTGAACCAGCAGATCGTCGACCAGGCGACTGGGTTGTATACAGGGATGAACCAAGAGGTACACCATCGGGCCCCATCACAGAGCTTGAAATATACGATGTTGACACCCTCCGTGCACGCCAGGATGGCTCCTTCGTTCATAGGTCTTCCAGAGACACGCACGCAGACCAAACACACGTTTCCAGCCAACACTTTACCTCCTCACAGAGCACACAAATGCATGTAGACGACAGACGCATGACCACCGAGCACAGCTATCAGACTGTTGTCGGGGCTACTGACAGCCCGTACCACAAGCCTATCACTAGTATGGAGAAGGTCTCTCCACTTCATCGTATCTCCAGGCAGCAGCTGCAAGATGGGGCATCCAGGGAGACCTGGACGGATGAGGCGTACTATCGAGCGAATGAACGTGAATCTCGAATGCACAGCGTTCACTTGGACGACCGTACTTTGACGACTGGTGACAGGTACATTGGTGACGGACGCTTGACGCAGGGTACCCGTGTAACTGATGGAGAACCCGTCACCAGCATCACCAGAGGGGACTACATCACCTACAGGAGTGACGGCTCAAGTGGACTGGTGGCGGGAGACACACGATTCCTAAGTGACTACACAAGACCTACTTTTGACGGACGACCCACGCACGACCAGGCTGGGTACGTCAGATACGGACACGATGGCGAGGGATCGTGGCGTGTTGTTGGCGGCCACGATACTAAGGTGGAATCCAGCAACTGGGAGCAGGAGCAGCAGTCTGCCAGGGAGTGGCGTAAGTGGTCACCTGTTAGCAGGTGTCGCAGGTATTGAGGCGGCCACACTTGTCGCCTCCATGTTCTGCATCGCCATCCTGCTTTTCTGCGTCCCTAACTGCCTTTTTAACCAAGCCTTCAGACTCTGTCCCTGGTGCGAGAGAGACCACAACAAGCTGGACGCTAATGTCTTACAAATAACTCATAAAGAGATGTTCTTCCCCCCACAGAGACGTCGCCACCTTATATTGTAACTCCCACTATTGTCTTTTTGCCAGTCTTGGTGCAGTTCCTTTAGGTTTATAGAAATTATTGACATTTCTTTCTAATTCCAAGAGCATATACTGTGTGTTCATTTACAGTTGTTCTAATCCTTCCGAGACTTGGTTATGACAAATTCCTCCATGGTGGCTAAGCTACAGGTTGCGGGAGCCTCCACTCACTCATACAGGTCGCCACAAACACTGTCTACATGAACCAACAGTCTAACGTGCTGACACCCTGCATCACTAACGCTGCATGATGGTCGAACATTACTACCGTACGTGTTACATACCCCAGTCCTGACTCTCTTGTCCTCAACTGTCACCTCCAGCATGCTTGTCCTCGCTGTCCTCACCGTCACTGATGTCTTTATCCTCACCTTCACCCTGCAGTCCTCGCCTTTACCTTGTAATCCTCACCTTCACCCTGCTGTGCTCACCCTCGCCCTGATATCCTCATCCTTGCCTTCACCCTGCTGTCCTCACCTTCACCCTGCTGTCCTCACCTTAACCCTGCTGTCCTCACTTTCACCCTGCTCGATGGACCTCAACTTAGCCAGGGTTTCTCTGAAAACATACCATGATAATGACCTACTCATCTCCCTGTGACTTGACAAAGGTCAAAGTGAGTCTGATTGCCTATCTATTTAATCCTCTCCCGCCCACCTATCCCTTGACTCAACACACATACTCTCCCATCTCCGACTCCCCCAATCTTTGTTTTTTAGCCTGACTCTTGACCTTCGTATTATCTCCACCACTCGCTACTCATTGTAGTTAACCTCCTCGTATTAGGTGGTGAAGCCACCATTACCTTCAAAGGGTTTATCGCCTACTAATTAATTTTTATCGGCAATTTTCACCCACTTTACTAGCCCATTTCTGAAGGAACGTGAGGATCCTTCCCTCACGCTCATATCCATGCTTTTCATCTGTTGTTGATGCTGACGTCAGATCAAGACTGGTGCTTTAGAAGCAGGTGTTGTCATGTGCTGAATGTGGAAGACACTTATGTACAGTTCAGGACAGTTCCTGAATGTGTCTATCAGCCTTCTGTGGAGATGTAGTTGTCCTGAGGAGCACTGTAGAAGGCCTAACTGGCTCGTGTAAAGTTTCCTAAGTGTTACGTTATATGAAGCATGCCGGTTTGGTATTTTTGTGAATATAATAATTAAATAGTTTTAATGTTTTGTATTAAGTACTTCATGCTGCAGTTTTCCTTCTTTCTTATATTTTTATTCTGTTGTTCCTGAAAAAAAAAGTATTTTAGTTTTGCTAAGCATTTCATTGTTCTTGTGCAGATATAATCTTGCACAAGTGTAAGAGGCTTTTGTTGATCACTGAACTTTGCGTCACACCAACTCCACTAACTTCTGTCTCTCAGAGCTGTGCATTACACAACCTGCTCATCATGTTCCACTCGTCAAGTACACAAGAAAATTCATGAAACTCTGAGTGACCATATGCTGGTCTGCAGGTTACTTAAGTGTGTCCCAGGGAACGATACCTGCCTCGTCATCTTCGTCTCTGGTCAATCATCGTCTTGAATATCAATAGCAAAAGTATGTGAATAAGATACAATATGTAGTTTATGGCATTTACTGAAAAGACGTTTTGTCCGCCAGAAACTTTATTAATCCCTGGTGGATGAAATATCTCAGTAAATATCATAACTTGCATATTGTATCTTGCAAACCATTGCCCTCTGTGATGAGTTCAGGAGCTACAGTTGCTATACACAAATAACCCGCACATAGGAGAGAGGAGCTTACGACGATGTTTCGGTCCGACTTGGACCATTTACAAAGTTCCTCTCTCCTATGTGCGGGTTATGTGTATTGTTCCAGTCACGGTATTGTGCCTTTTTGTTCTATGCTACATTTGCTGTTCCACTCGTTCCACTCCCTGAATACTTCAGATGCTACATACCGCTGTATAGCCCTTGTGGCTTAGCGCTTCTTTTTGATTATAATAATAATTCAGATGCTACATTTACCATGACATTCGTTTAAAATGGCAGAATTACTAATTTACTCTTGCTGATAATAAAATAAATATAAAAAGAGGCTGTTGGAGTGTGACCCTCTTCTTGAGAGACTGTGTTCCAGAATCTGCCGTATAAGAGACTTCCAATCCCATTTATGACCTTTGTTATTTTAAGTATTTTCTTGTTCACATTCTGTCTACCCAGGGCAACCAGATTTTAACTCGGTCACCGCAGTTTTCATAGAGTTACGCTAATGATATTCCATACCAGAATTCAGTTTGTCATTTAAATCTTTAAGTTACCAGCAGTAGCAAGTCAGCGAAATGTGTATCATTTGTCTAAAATATAGTAGTGATTTATACCCAGTTGAACGAAATAGCAAAATCGATGAACACCATTTAAATGTATGAAAAAAATCTGAGAGTGAACATTGTCCCAGGTGTGAAACCCTTCCGAGATGATGGCAAACAACACTACTTGTAACTAGGTCAAAATAAGTCATTACTGGTGTGTCTCCCGCACTGCCTACTGAGCCAATAATGTCTTCAGTAACAAGTTAATGATGCAAGTCCGACCGAAACATCGTTATAAGTTTGTCTCTTAGGTGCGGGTTGTGTATTATTATTATTATTATTATTATTATTATTATAACGGTCACGTGACAGCGCTAAATCCGTAGGGGTCACACAGCGCCTGTAGTACATACTGAGAGTCAGGTTCAGTCCAAGAGTGGAGATGTCAAGTCCAATTCCTTTGATCAAGAACCCCTCAAGGAAGGTTCCTTGATGTTGGTGAGGGGCTCTTGATTTAGGGAATTGGATCTGTGCTCCAGTTCCCCGAATTAAGCCTGAATGCCTTCCACATCCCCCCCAGGCGCTCTATAATCCTCCGGGTTTAGCGCTTCCCCCTTGATTATAATAATAATAATTTGATCAAGAACCCCTCACCAGTATCAAGGAACCTTAGACACTGAAAACTACAAAGCCAGCATACCTGCGCTTGTGTGAGTACAAACAGGTACTCCCACTCAGTAAGCAGGTTGTGACACAGGGGCGACAGGGCATAAGTGCACGCAGGTGTCTCAGACGGATGTTGGGAAATGTTTCTTCACTCTTATGGTGTTAAGTGGAATGAGCTGCATGAGGGATTGGTGAAGGCAAACTCAGTACAAAGCTTCAGGAGTAGACATGAAAAGGCGTAAGAGGGCGGGCCAGGAGCTAGGTTTTAGCACACTCAAGCACAACTCAGTGAGCAAGGGATAAGAGTAGCACTGAGTAGTGTTGTTCTTGGTCTAAACCAGTAATGTCATCCTCATTACGAGGTATGTAAGAGACCATACCAGGTGGGTCACATTCCCACGCTCACCTGTAGCCTGTGTTGGTGTGGTTGCTTGCTGTTGCCTGTGGGACTTCTGTGTTGTCTGTACTTGTTGGTATGGTTGGTTGGTATAGCCAGGACTGTTGATGTGGTTGGTTGCTGTAGCCTGGACTGTTGATGTGGCTGGTTGCTGTAACTGGACCGTTGATGTTGTTGGTGTAGCCTGGACTGTTGATGTGGTTGGTTGGTGTAGCCTGGACTGTTGATGTGGTTGGTTGGTGTAGCCTGGACTGTTGATGTGGTTGGTTGGTGTAGCCTGGACTGTTGATGTGGTTGGTTGATGTAGCCTGGACTGTTGATGTGGTTGGTTGATGTAGCCTGTGGGGCGTCTGTGTCAGCTGCTCTAAAATACGCTAGCTGCTTCTTGTTTGCAAGTAACGCTCAGCTCTCTTTACCAGTTCTTAACTGTACTAGGTTAGGTGTCAGGCATGCCCCGAAGGGGGCAGTGACCTTCGGAATCAAGCTGTTACTGCCCGCTGCCTGCAGTCCAACGTATGCACCACAACCTGGCTGATAAGGAGCTGTTTTGAAGAATCTGTCGAGTTTTCCCTGGAAAATAGCTAGAGGTTTGTTGGTAATCTCCCTTATGCATGGAGGGAGGGTGTTGAAGAGTCGTGGTCCCTTAACACTCATTGAGTTCTCTCTCAGTGTACTCATCTCTTCCCTGCTTTTCATTAGGGGTATCCTACACCACATACCAAAACCTCTTGTGTTCATAGATAGTAATTTCGGTGTGCAAGTTTGGGACAAATCCCTCCAGTATCTTCCAGGTGTAGATTATGGTGTATTTTTCTTGTCTACGTTCTAAGGAGTACAGTTCTAAGGGCTTTAAGCACTCCCAGTAATTTACAGTAGGTTCTTGACTGAGTAATACGAGCTGTGAAGGTTGTCCCCACATTTTTCCGGCTCAGAAATTTTGCCTATCTAGAAGGGGGGGCTTTAGTACATGTGAGATTTTCCGACATTATCACTCACAG